GAGATTTTAAAACATATTTATGCTAACTTTCCACTAGGCCAAATGTGGTTTATCATTTTGCTGAGAGTGTGATCTCATCCCCCATCTCACCCCTGAGATGCTAGGGAAGAGTGCATTCAGGAAGAGTTACTGATGCCCAACAGAGCTGTAGTCATAGGACAAGCAGAGCTAAGAAGGTAATCATCTTCTGTTTGTGTGTTTGATGCAATGGCGAGCGTCGGCCGGTATTTTAAAAAGCAGATTGTGCAATGGTTTTATCTTTACACTAGGGATGGTCTTTTGAACAGTAATGAGTCTTTTAGCTCATTTTCTATATGTTAAATATAGTACTGCTTCAGTAAATGATGGTGTCACACACTTTTATTTAAACTTAGTTTGAGGGTCTAGAAAGTGTTTCAGAGAAGGTGAAACAATCTATCCCCAAGTGAAATCAACTTTGGTGTCTTAAACTCCAAATTGCATTTGTTTCATGGCTAATTATGGCAACCAAAGGAACTTGGTGGCAGAATTGAAGCCTGTAGTTTGAATCCTATAAGTTGCCTGCGTGCATAGGTAGAAAATCCAGGCTCCTTGGTAACTCTTTAGTGGACGTTATGTACCAGTACTGTGTGGGGATAGGGAAAGAGGAATAGAGTGCAGTTATAAAGGAGTTATACGGGTGACAAACTGGAAGGGGTGGCTGGTACACCTGTGTGTGCTCGAGTCTGTTATCTTGGGCAGTCCTGTTGGTCCCTTTAACACTAGCCTGGCATGTGTTACTGGGGCTGACTGGGAGTTCTCCCAGCTGCAGCACAACAGGAAGATCAGATTCCGTGCACTGGCACACAAAAGGCTTTTTTTTTAATCACAGAAGCAGCAGCATGGCTACTGCTAACTATGGTCATTGAAACATGAACCTTATAGTAATGAAATTTGAAATAGCTTGTATACACCCCCTGTTTGGACTATTTTTAGTCTTTTTCTTATGACTGCAGAAATCCATCCTCTTACGGAATACGAGTTGTTTCATTTCTGACTTGAAAATCACAGTAAAGTAACTGCTATGACTTGTTTTCCTAGAATATACTGATAGAGTGCTCTCTACATACAGGATGCCTTTCAAATGTGGAAAGGAGAGTTGTTGCTTTGAGGAGTTAACATCTTAAAACAAAAGTCCAGAGAAAAAACTTGGAATCCATTCTGTGTGTGGTGTATTTTACACAAAACCCCCTCAGCCTAGTTTCACTTTTTAAATTAATGCTTTACCCTTAACATTTTCAAGCAATGCTCTGAAATGTGAAAGAATATCGGGGTTAAAATTGCCTATGCACAGCAATTAGTCCTTTTTTGTCTGAGTTCATCCTGTGCATTGAACAGGGCCAAGGTCCTATTGGCAAAAAATAAAAAATAATTAAATATTGTAATGTGATATGAACGTATAAAGTTCCGTGGTCTGACAGCAAATGTGTGCTAGCTTCTGGAGTTAGGAAAAAAGCTAAGAAAAAATGGCTACATGTGACAATTAATTTTTCCCATTTTTTTCCAAACAAGTCACTGGTTACAGTAGCATAAGCTTTATTGTGTAACTTAAAGGTAATAATAAGTTATAACTAGACATCTTAATATACAGATAATTAGCATTTAAATAGTCTTAAACCTTCAGGTGCTGTATGCTAAAATGTTTTCACCACCATGTGTTCTAGTGTTCTCAGGGGCTGCCAAGCTTTAAACATAAAAGTAGTTTTGAGATCTTTGTTTTTGTAACAAGTCCGTGAAATGAGTAACTTTTCTCCTTATTTGCAAACCTCAACAAAAAACTTAAAGTTGATCTGCAGGATATGATGTTTTGGTAATGGTGGTTTATTTTTTGTTACATAAGTTATATAGAATTCTTTAAAAGTTTAAGAGCCTTTTTTGGGGTCTGGAGTGGGTATTACTACTGTAAGTGTATGTATATCTCAATCTGCCTTTCCTGTTAGTAATATTGATATTAGTAGGAGTAACATCAGATTGTCAACAATCAATCTTCCTAACAGAAATATATTTCTAAAACATCGGAATTTTATTTGGTTAATGCTAATTTTGATTGAGGTAAGCATTACTCAAGCTGTTCTTCAGGTCACAGATCACATGTATATTTTGGGAAGAAGGCAGTGCTCTTAATATGACTCCCAGAGCTGGGGTTTAAAAAAAACACCCAAAAACTGCAGAATATCCTGTAATAATCTGAACCTTTCAGACTCCTGCCTTGAACAGTTTACAGCACATATTTCTAGAGCTTTCAAAAGGCTGCCTCAGTAAATTTGATAGCTGAGATTTTGTGAACATTTCTGCTTGTTGAAGTTTTTGTTAAGAAACCCTGCATAATGCTAAACTCTTCAGACTTCTCTGTGGATATGAGTGATTGTGAGCTGTCTAGTCTTAACTTTCTAATGTGTTTTATTGAGAGAAGAGAGAGGCAGTGTGAGTTACTGTATGTACTCTTGCTGTGAACAGGAAATAATTTCATCTATAGAGCAGACTTTATGTGCTGCTCTATGTGCTGTATTTTTCATTAATACTATTTCCATGTTGGTTCCCAGTATTCACCAAAGCTACAGATTTAGTTCATCATATGCTGTTCTCTACTATAAAAATGTTAAGAGTAGTTGAAAACTTAAGTCTGTTTAAGATGCTTGGAGTTACCAACTGTGGGTGTTTGTTCATCATTTCTGTCTCAATTCCCTATCTAAGAAAACTTACCTGTATCAGGCACAAGTTTTCCTATGGCTCTCTTTAGTGTGCTGCTTATGAAGAAACCAATTATTTGTTGTAGAGCTTAGACATTGAGTTTAAAAAAGTATGCAAACTGAAAGCTCAGAATGAAAAGAAGTATTCAACTGATGCCTTATTCTTCAAGCTTGTCCTCTACTAAATGAGGCAGAGATGTCAGTAAAAATACTGTACCTGCAGGAGGGCAGAATTAAGGTATTTTGTGTTGCCAGAGGTTTGACTTTCAAACATTAACCTGTTCTAAACTCTTAAGAAAAAGCCTGTAATAAATTACGTACGGAAAAGGATGCAAATGTATTTCCATTCCCTGTCTAGGTCCTCTCTAAGTGACTTCTCCAAGGCAACAGAGTAATTCATTCAGATAGTCACGTTTCAACTCCTGGTGTTCCTAACTTTGTCCTTGGGAGCCCCTGGGTTCTCAGTCTGGGGTTGCAGCCCTTCAGAGTGGTTAAATGCAATCTGAAGGTTTGTTACTGTGCAGGTTTTTTTCCAGCTTGATGAAGCTGGGGTCCTACTATGGAGGTGAGTCTCTACGTAGGGGGGAACAGTTGCTGTTATTTTTAAATGACAGCTTTCTCATCAGTTTCCATATACTTGTGCTACAAGTAAATTGATATTTTTCTTTTTTATATAAAAATCATGTTTGTTTATTCTAAGGCTGCATTTGTGGATGTGTAGTACAGACTGTTTTCTTTAGCTTTCCAAAGTCAGTCATCTACAGCAGTGAGATTTATTTTAAATTATTATTTTATTAATAGCATGGGCATATAGTTGTAATTGTTTGTTGAAGAGGGACAGGTAATGATTGCATAATGAAAAAGCATAGTCTGTGGATTTTCGGACCAATTAAATAGCTGATTGATAGTGGGAGGTGGAGGTGACAAGTAAGATTTTAATATCAAAAAAGAAACAACTAGAGTTTGAGAATCATACCTGTCTCTTCAGCACCCTCAACAATGAGAGTATTTGAAATTCTCTAGCACCCAGAGTGAATATAACCTCAAAATAGTCCATACTCCAAAGTTCATAACCTGCCATGTTAACAGTTGGATATTGTGTAAACTAACCTGGAATTGCTCTAAAATTAAACATCTTCGTAATATTGTGTTCAAAATGCACAATAAAATTTGAGACTAGGAGACTGACAATACAGTCTCTGTCATCAGTAGGCTTCCTGTTTTCTGTTCTCAGTGTTCATCAGCACACAGTTCTGCTGGTTAGTAAATGGAAACTCCTTCACTTGTGCTGGTCTCCAATGAGCGAGAGATAATTATGTGGCATTTCTACTGCTGTATCTTTTCATAAGGCTGGCCCTTGAACTTCAGCCCTGTGATGACTTGTGTGTGAATAAAAACATATATGCAAAGGTCTTGTTAGCTGTGCAGTTGAAGCTTAAAATATGCTAATATTCTAGTATTTTACTAGAAAATTGGGAGTATTTTAGAGGCTTTTTTTTTTAGCATCAGGCAAAGTAATTAAGCAATGAGTTATCATTTATATTGTGACTATCTTTCTAGAACTCTGGCTCATGAGTATTTTATGATTCATATGAGGATGATTGAAGAGGTACTACCTTGCTATGCTACTAAATATTCTTCCTGTGATGCAGGCATTGTAATGGACAGTGTATCTTCTCAGCCTCCACACTTCATGGCCTACTATGTTAGCTTAAACTGCTGTTGATTTCAGTTTACATTAGTACTCGGGGTTTGAGCTCTAGTGACTGTGCTGTTGTGCCACCTGCTCTACCATATTTGTTCTGTTGGTATATCCTCTGGCAGAGGTGGTGGGCAGATGTCTAAGGTGGGTAATCTTGTCATGTTTAGCTGTGGCAACTGACCAGGCTTGTGATTCAGATCTTAATAAATGTGATAAAGTGAAAGTCTGTCCTCCACAGGAGGAGGACACTGGCCTTGCACAGAATTAGAAAAACTTGTACCTATAATCTGTTCTCCCCCTAATGACAGTAATAGTTTGTATTTTAATCCAGATTGGAATTGTAAGTCTCCTTGGTTTTCCCTACCATGTCAAACAGATTTTCTTTCCAACTGATGTTTTCTAGTTAGCTTCAGCATTTAAAAAAAAAAAATACCAACCCCGCTCCCCAAGAAAAAACAAACAAAAAAGTCCCTCCTAAAACCTCAACAACCCTTCCAACTTTCCAGATATTTGAATTTCTTTTTCTGTTTCAAACTGTAGTTAAAATTTATGTAATAATCTTTTTTTCTGTTGCTGTTTTTCTTTCGTAGGAGAGAGTGAAGAGCTGAAAGGGATAACTTACTCAAAACTGGTAAGTACTTCTTCCTAGGGCTAAAATGGCTTACCTAAGAATAGATGATATGAAGAGCTGGCATCCATTTCTGGAAAAGTTTGATGCTTACTGAAACTGAAATCCTATCTATTCTTGTATTCATAAATTAAATCTTAAAAAGTAAATGTTACTGATGGAAACCTCAGTCTTATAAATAAAATCTGTGTAGGACTGATATTTGGGCCCAGGGGTTTCTAAGTACAAGGGACATTTAAATTCATCTACTCAAAAATAATAATGTTACGGTTTGGGGTTTTTTTTCTGTGTAATGTGACCCCCAAATTTATTTAAAGGGGTTTTTTGTGCAGAAAGGCTTCTCTCTAAAATTCTAAGTTACTTAGAGACCTTGCATACACACAGAAGGCATTCATGGCTTTTGTGTGTGTCCTGCCTTTGTTTGTATAAATATCAGATGTGTTTCTAGTGTAGCTTCCAAAAGAGCCATAGTTTAAATAGCATTGTGATAGTTTAGATTCTGATGTGGATTTTATTTAATTGAGATAACAGAGAAGTGTAAATGCACTTATGTGATTATTATAGAGCTTAAGGTTTCATTCAGTCTCTGAATATTTAAGTAGTCTATAAACATGTGCTACCAAATGCAGTGCATTGGGGTACTTTTCTGAGTATGTTCAAGTCTTGAAGCAACCACTTAAGAAATAACTGGTTATTGGGAACAAAGGAATGCCAGCAAGAAGTTGAATGGAGGACTGCTGCCGCCTCCAGTTGTTGAAATCCATCCAAAAAATGGTGAATTTACCTCTTGCTCTCAGTGTTCTTTCTGGCTGAAACTTGGAAGTATATCTGGATGTACAAGAGATGCATGAACTTGTCAGTCCTCTGCTTTCCTTTTGGAAATCACTGGTTCTGCCATTAAATAAAGAATTTGCATGTTTTCCTTTAAAAACTGAAGAAATGAAGGATTTTTGCCGACCAACCCATCCATGCAATTTCGGTCATCTACAAGCTTTTTAATTAAAATAATTCCACTGTCGTAAGAGTAAAGTGGAAAATGCACTATGCTTTATGATTAATCCAGAGGTGGTTTTATACCTCTTTGAATGTGGTATTGTAGGTAGTTTATAATGCCACTGGACTTAAGTTTTTAAATCTTCCCTTGAGGTTCAGTCTAAAAGAATAAAATTTCAAAAATACTGAAGATATGTGCACTTGTAAAATGTGTAACCACTTGCTTATATAGTTCTGTACCTCCTTTCAAAGGAAGTGTGAGCAATGTTTAACCAGGTGCCCTGATAGATATTTCTATGTTATTCTATGTAAACCAGAAAAAATACAGTCTGGGTATTACTGGATGTAAGGAATGATCACTTTTTTTCTTTCTTTATATTGGTTGTTTAACACTGGGTGTGTAAGGTACTTGAGGGGAATTCTGGACAGGGATAACTTTGGATAGTTATTCTTACTTGGGGAGGGAAGCTATAAGTGCGTGTTCCAGATGGAAACAACTGTATATATTTCATATTCAGAATTTGGCAACTTGACCAAACTTTTAAATGAAATACATCTGTTCTATACCCCTATACACTCGACTAGGCTAAGCAACCACTTATTTCTGCAAAGCAGTGTCACTTTTTTCTTAAACCCCTTAAAAAAATAATTTTGAAAAATCTTTCTAGTTGTTCAAGGCATAGATACAATTAGCTTGGGTTAACTTTTATGTACCATCAATACTACAATTTCTATCTGTCAAATGAAGTTGTGCATTAATAGTAATTACTCAATCTTTATATTTTTATTTACAGAGGTACTATGTCATTTTTGCCATGAACTAGTATTGGACTTTACAGTTACATGTATTAAAATGATGGATATTATTGTCAGTTGAGATAACTGTCTCTTCCACTGTTCTGCACTTAACTTTATAGTTGGCATGTAGTTACAGAGTGATATAAACTGTTCATCATGTGTGCCTTCTCATTTGTTGAAGACACACTGAGAAAGAAACTGTGGCCATACCTACCTGTGTCTTTACCCCAAAATCAAGTTTCCAGGGCTCATGAAAGACTTCTTTTCTCTGCAGTGGGTTCCAGTTTTCATTAACCAATCTCCCACGTGGTTTTCTGAAGCATAGTTTCTTTTGAAACTGCAGTGGTAGGGACTTAAAGCATGCTATCATTATTCTTGTCAGTGAGTGGAAGTAATAATCCGGGATTCTGTTTTCTCATTACTGTTTGTGGTAATAGGTCAGGGAACTATATGTAATTTCCATGTATCCCTTGATACAAATTACAATTTTATAGAGTAGTGCTGCAAAGGCAGCTGGTTTTGCTCATCTGTGTCACATGTGGGAGAGGCCCTTGCAGCAGGTCATTTCATGTGTTGGCTAGAAAGTCTGATCAGGCCTTTGTTATTTAAATACGTAACTTTAAGCTAACAGCAGACAGCACTGACAAAGAATGAGCTATATAAATACAATGCTTTTTAAACCCCCTTTATAGTCTTCTCTTTTTGTAATATATTTCTTTTTGAAAAGAGAAATGATTAATTTAAATAAACAAAACAAAACACACACCCTCAACCTTTTTATTTTCAGGAATGCACAAAGTTGTCCAGCACTTCAGTTTACTGTACTGAGACAACATAAAGTCTTAAACTTATGGGAATTACTCTCTTTTTACAGCCTACATGTCTAATCTAAACTGTCAGTATCCTTTTGAAAATCTTGTAGTCTGGTTATGAAGGCCTCTGAGTTGGCAACAATACCTGTGCAATAATTGTGAGCAAGTTGCAAAAAATAAAAAAAGGAACGATTTTAACATTACAGAAATTCTTTAATTATGGATGGAAAAGTGACTAAAAGGATTGCTATATAATGTTTTCCAATGGCTTCTATCTATGTATTTATAGATGGTTTTTATGTAGGTTCTACTATGATTTGAGCATATGGGAATCTTAATTGTGTTTCAGAAGCTGATACTTTTAATGCATTTTTGAACAAAAATCTCTTGTCCAACTTTCTAGGCTTTTAGAAATATGTCTGATAATGCTTTTCTATGTCAGAGGTTGGGGGCATTACTTTGTTTGTAGTACAAGTGGAGATGGTAAACTCATAGTTGTGATCTAAAAGTAGAATTCCAAGATGAAAAGGATTTTAAAATTAATTTTGAAAAAGTCTTGTGCTGCTTTATCTGAATCTTATGGTCCTTCAGAACAGATTTCAACTGAAATGACTAAGTCAACACAAACTTTAGGCAGTAGCTTATTAATATATTAATGTTGTTCTATCAAATTGCATGCACACTGTCCCATCCAAGAACAACTCTACAGTATCATGGAAGTGTGTTAATGCAGTACATTGAATTTAACAATTTGGGTTGCAGAATTTTAGTCTTCGGAATATGTTTGCATCTACACAGATTTTTAAAACATTCTCAGTAGTTAAATTTTCTGATTTAATGTGCAACTGCAATAGGATATTGATAGGAAATAGCTGCCTGCAAACTAAGATAAGGGGCAAAGTATGTCAACTTTGGGATATGTGGGAAGTAACAAATTTGGCTAAATGACTCCAAGGCAGGCATTTTGTAGAGCCTGTAGATTTCTCGTGTTCCATAGACTGACTGTGTTTAGGGTAGAAAGCTGCATTTGAATGTAGTTCACTATTGAATTCCCACTCTGTTATAATCTCCTTTCTTCAAATTGTCAAACCAAAACAAAACCTTTTTTTTTCTATAGGACTGGTGTTAAAGAGGGAACCAGAAACTAAAGGCACTGGAATCAGCAAAGACACTTTTAGAAAAAGTGGAGAAGGTAGAGAATGGAGCTGCAGACTCTACAGGAGGCTCTGAAAGTGGAAATTCAGGTTCACCAGGTAATTTGTATTCTTTCTTGCTTTAGACTTTCAAGTAATAGCAGCATTAGTATTGCTGGCTACTAATGGGAGCATTAAGCAGTAGCACTACAACTATAGTAATAATTGTTTTATAAGCTCAAAATACTTAAGAATTTTATACTCTGCATTTTGACCCCACCACCTGTTGTTTTTTAGCAAATGTGAAAAATCTACATATCAATCTGTGGGTGGGGATTTTTTTTAATATTTTGTAGCAGTAATAAAAACATTTTGAGAACTCTACATTCAGCAGCCTCTATCTGAAAGGTTTTTCTAATGTTCTGAAGCCAACTGCAGTATTCAGTTGAGGAAATATTAGAAATAATAATAATAAAACCTAATTTAGCAAATGTAAGAGGACATATGCATATTCTTGGGACAAAATTATTACAGCCATAGACACAGAGTAGCTGTCAATTTGAAATGTTAAATTTATCAATGAATCCTTTTCTAAACACAGTTCTCCAAGTATTCATGGAGCTCTCCAGATATCTGAAACTCACAACTGTTACACAGTGGATTAAAAAAATGTATCATAAGTTGCACTGATCAGTTTAACCCATCATATAAAATTTGGGAAATGTTTCCTTATTATTTGGTGACTTGTCTAAAAAGTGTTCTTGATGCAATGATGAGCAGATTGCAAGAACTCAAATGGGTGAATTATTAAAATGAACTATGTCTGCTTTAACAAAATAAAACTTACAGCTAGGGAGAAAAACTTGAGAAAGCCAAAGATGGATTTCCGGAACTAGAGGTGAGTATTTTGCTCTCTTCAGAAACTTCCAAGGCCCTTGCATTCAAACAATGAAGTCTTGTTATGGGGGTAAGGAAGTTCAGAAATTACCCATGCTATTTTGCTGCAGACATAGAAATATCTGAGACCAGTAAGTAATTTTTTCAAGTGTTATCTTCTGTAAAGCGATCAGAACGCTATTCTTACTTGTGTTTGTATAACAGTGTTTACCTCTTGTGCCTAAGCTAACCCAAAATTTTAAGACTGTGAATTTTGAATAATGTTTAGCATCTGTTCATAATGACAGTGCTGAACAGGGATGAAGACTGGAATATGTCCAAAAAGACTTCTTTTAACAGCTTAAATTTTTTTTGACCCTGTTTGCTTTAGCTTTGCCCAGTCCTCATTAAAAGTGAGCTCTGAACTGAAATAAACTTTAATTAAATTTAGTTGGTGAAACTAGAAAAGCCATTATATCAAAAAGTTGTCTTAATTCAAGATGCCATATATTTCTATAATTAGGGCTAAGAACAAGTATATGTTTATGATGGAAAATAACACTGGCAACGGCATGTTGAGTGCTTGAGTAAACTTTTGTGAACTGTTGTTGTCAAATGGACACTGATAGAAATTAAACTAGTTTTGGCACAAAAAAAAGAAATCTTCAATGAAATGCTTGAACTTTCTTGCATAGCTTTGAATTTTGTAACCTAAAGAGATACAGTATATCCCTTCTTTTTGTTCAGGATTTATGGAGCAGTGTCTCTTGTCATCTTTTACTTAGCTAGTATTTCTTTTTCTGAGGACTCTCTAGAAAAGCTTGCCAACACTCATACAGTCAGGGTTTTTTGTCCCATTGCAAGTGGTCACGGGTGTCTGTGATCCTGTACGGAGTTCAGCTCAGCACTGTGGTCAAAGCCTCCCAGGTTCCTGATGCAGTGTACTGCTTGTGACTGCTTCCATGGCTGTACAAAGTGATGTTCAGTATGACTGTGGTTTTCTTTGTGGAATAGCTCCTTGTTTCCTGCCTATTCTATTTCACCTCCAGAACTGTCTGAAGCTTTCAAAATGCTGCTTTGGCAAAGTGAGTCTTAAACTACCAGTAAGGACCCAAAGGAAGTGTTGTGTTGTTTAGAAAAAGCTACTTTTTTGGTTTCATTTTCACAGAGAATCCTCCATGAATGACATCTGACCAGATCACTTGCTATATCAGTGTAATACAACTTGAATATTCAAATAGCTTCAATGTCAAAGCTATATTGATTGTCCTGAGAAGAAATGCATCTAATCTAAGTACTTCATTCTGCTACTGTGTTGACTTAATTAAGGTTATTTTGAAGCAGTCTGCTCTTCATAGTTTTGATCACAAGAGGTGTTAAAGAAGTTATATTTAGCTATTCTTACAGAAGGATTGGGTTTTGTGGATGATTCCTTGAACTGATGTGGGGAAAGAACCTAAACCATAATTTTCCTTATTTCATACCAGAAAGATCAGTATGTTTTAAAATATCTAAAATTTAACTTGTGCTTGTGGCTAGTGCAAAAGAAGATATTTTTTTCCCTAGGATTGCATGATGCAATGTTTTGTGATTCATAAATTTAGCAATGCCTTGTGAACAGTTTACAGTACTGACTGTATTGTCTTACGACTGTGTCTGCAGGAGCACTTTGTATAAAAACTAACAGATCTGTTACTTGTCAAATTCTAATGTGGCAGGAAGCAGCAAGGAAAAATAAGCTGAGTGTGCCTGTGACGCTGAATGCATGACGAAACAATAATGCTCAGCTTAGATAAATACCAAGTGATGCACTTTGGAAAAACAGGTTCAGTTTTACAGCTGCAATAGCAGGCTGTGAATTGGCAGTTAGGACAGTGGAGGGAGTTCTTGCAGTACAGAGTACCTGAACATTGCATGCAGTTTTAAACTTTGTCTCCAGATGACAGAGGCAAACTAGAGAAGTACAGGGAAGCGTGCCAAGAGTGAACAAAGCAATGGAATGATTTGTGCATGAGGAGACTCTCATCTGAAGAAGTGATGAGTGATAGATGAATATGTGTTGTGGAAAAAATGTAGGAAGAAGCTGAATAGAGAAGCAGCCATAGAATCATATAATACTGAGTTGGAAGGGACCTGTAAGGATCATTGAGTCCAACTTCCAACTCCTTTTGACTCAAGTCAACTCTGGTTTTCTGTAATTGTATTAGTCTCTCATGCTTGCATTGTAAGGAGACAGATTCAAAAGAAAAAGGTCATCCTTTTACGTAAGAGTCCTTTAGTTTAACTTGGGAACTTATTGTCACAGAATCTAGAGTGTTTTCCTGAGTTTAAAAAGTAATTAAGGCAGATAAATCAAAGAAATGTGTGCTACAAGCTATTAAACCTAAGATGTAATCTTTGAAGACGTCAGAGATGTAAATTTGTGAAAGATGAGAAATAATGCTGCATGCTTGTCCAGCATGGACTCTCTGCTAATGCATCTGTTTTTTGCTAATGGCTACTACTAGAAAATGCAGCAGGTAAACCTGTGGTCTGATGCAAAATTATCTTTGTGTCGGGTCTTTTGGGTTTTTTTTGTTTTGTTTTTTTTTTTTTTTAGTACAGTTTTTAGGATATGAAAGGAATTAAACTTTTAAAGAGAATTAGCTGACAATCTGAATTCTCTGAGTGGTATCAATGAAGGTGGAATAGAACATGTGTTTTTCTTGCTTGCTTTGTCCTTCTGTTTTTCACTCCTTTTCCTGATTCTGATGAGTAAATGAAGAAGAAAGTAGAGACTTTACATGATTCTTTGCATGTGTGGAAGGGGCATGGTGATGTGATGAATAAATGTGGTTGTAACCAAAAAAGAAATGGGGAATTTTTGGTTTATCTTGTCTCTTCAATCTGGGCTCTGTTTTTCGTCGCTGACTTTTTTCTTGCTTAGCAATAGGCAGCATTCTCCTGCAGCTGCCTAAAGGAAGCGAAGGAGGAAGAATGGTGAATGGTAACAATCTGTCTGCTTTCCCGTGGATGTGGAGGGCATCTCTTCTACAATGATCTCAATCTCTCTTTGAGGGAGAAAAGTGGCAAAGATACTTCTGAACATGGGTCTTCCATCTGGTACCAGCCGAGCCAACACACAGGCGGAGCCACAGTACTTGAAACATTGTGCTCTTGAATATACAAACAGCTTTTGTGCCTGCAGTGATTATCTGTGATTTGTGTTTCTTGTGACTGCAAGCAAAGAAGGCAGCAGTTCTAGAGGAGACACAGCTATTAGATTATCTTACCCAGCTGGCTTAAATTGTCATTAAAAAGCATCACTTATTCAAGAGCTATTGAGGAGGAGCAGAAGTGATGGCTTAGTACAGTTGTTTTACTATATTAATAAGAATGGGTTTGGAAATTATATAATACTGGACTCCAGGCCTTGCTATTGAAATGCTGTAAACTAAGTATTTTGCTTTTACAAAAGTTCTTCAAAAATACTTTTAAACTCTTCAACAAGATCTGTAATGAAGCCTTCATTGTATTGTTACATCTGTTTTCTTTCTAGAAATTGGTTGCCCAAATGAAGCAAGATCCACAGGTAACTATTTATTTTTATATTGGATTATTTAGCTTTAAAAATGCAGGAAATAACAGTGCATGAAGCTTGAGAATTTTAGATATTTCTTGATCACATTCTTTCTTGCTAACACAGTGTTTAGAAGAAAACTTATGAACAAGTTTTGGAGCAATGACTGTTAGATAGTTTAAAACAAAACCAAAACTGTTGCCATTATGGAGTTTTTACTTCATATGTATCCTTATTGGTTTAAATCAAGTGGCCCTTGTGGGCTTTGGTGCCGTTCAAATGTGCAGTAAGTTTATGATTCTATTAGAAGCTCTTCTTTATAAAAGGTGCCATTGTTAGAAATAGCTTTTTTATTTTTTTGAACATAAGAAGGTTCACGGTACAAGAAGTGAGAGGATATTCTGTCCAAGAAATTTTGTTCAAATAATGTAGCATAAGGCTATGTCCTTATTGCCTGTCTTAGGTATCTTACCAGCACTGTAGTGTCCAAAGAGTGGGCACTTGGCCTTGGGAAGTTTCAGAGCTACTGAGGTTGGATAACTAGACTCCTTGCATAGACAGCAGAAGTTATCCCTTTTCCAGTAACTGTGTAAGGTGACTGGGTTTTTACTCTACAGCAGTTAAGCACTCTGCTGAATGGGGAATTCTGTGGAGTTCTCAAACCAGTCTGAAATGTTAAGGAGAGGGATAAAGGCAGCTCACTTGAGGCTTGCTATTAAAATGCTCCCATCCCCATACATTAGTAAATGCCCTGTAATTTTTCTGAATGTATATTTTTTTTGAGCTCAGTGAAGAAGACAGTTTTTAATAACTGTCAAGTAGCTGGACTCCTGATGGGGAGGGTTGAACTGGAAGTAGGGTATATTGGAAAATCTGTTTTCTAGAACTTCCTTATTCTGATGGGATTTAGGTAAGGTCTGTGCTACCCTTTCTCGCTGGGCAGGTGTGCTAACAATTAGACTGCAGAGCAGTTTGTTTTCAGTTTATATCTGCTGAAAGTGAGATCATGCTGCAAGCAGCCATGCAAAGTTCCAAGAGTCAGGAAGAGTAAACCTGGTCTCTGCTTCCAATGCTCTTAATGCATTTTTATCCCAGATTATTAAGTGGAATCTAAAAGAAAGGGGGATGACTGGCAATATCTGGTTTTGCTAGAAATGGAGAAGAGTATCTACAAGCTGAGATTGTAATGCATTTCAGAGTTGAATGGAGGAATATAGAAATAGGGAATATACCCTGAGCATGTAGTACCTGTAACGATATTAGTCCTATGTTTTAATTTTTCTATGTAGCACTGAACCTGCTTAATCTAGTGTAAAAAGTTTAGATGTAAATGAGAACAAAAAAAGTGGAAAAAGAGAAAAATTAAAAAATACTTGCTTTTCTGTCATGTTTCTGTAGAGCTTCATTGGTTTTAAACAATGGACAGATTTTTTTTAAGTTTTATTTTATTTTTAGTAGGAAAGAAAAAGTCCTGGTAAAAGTTGTTTCCTGTGTGCATCTTTGTAGAGATGCTCATGGCTTTCAAATCTTAAGTTTAAGAAAAGGCTATTGTAGGCAAAGTAGTGATATGAATGATGTGGTAAGGCAAATGTAGTTCCCTTTAGTACAGTCTAAGGCATAAACATATATGGAAATAAGACTTGGATATGTGTGCCTTTATTTGATATGTATGTCAGTTAAGATTTAATAGATATGTTTGATGCTCTATACAGTTAAATGTATAATATCTTTGCATAAGTAGCATAGGTGAGAATGTTTTAGATAAGATACCATAGCATGCTGTTATATACAGTATGATGCTGTTGTTCTAAATATTAACAAACATTTCTCATTTAATTTGTAAACTTGATGAAATGTACAAATGTGCTTTTTATAGTGTGATAAGCACTAATGGATGTTTTAATGAAATCTTCATTCCAATCTGGGCTGTCACTCTGAGTGCTGGAAAGGTCCTCCGATTATTGTTGCACTCAGTGACTTAAGTCAGGCTTTTTTGAGCCTCTTGAATTTTATTGGCTGTACATCCAGAGGTGCTGTATTTGTAGTACACTATGCAAAAACAAAACAAAAAAACAAACCACCTTCCTGCTACTACTCTATGTTAACAAATGGAATATCTTTCTCACAGATATTTTTTCTTTCTAATCAGAACGCTGATTTGAAGAAACAACTTCATGAACTTCAAGCCAAAATCACAGCTCTGAGTGAGAAACAGGTAGGGAAACAGATGTATTTTTAACATCCTGTTTTAAAGGTGTCTCTTTTCCTAGCTTCCAAGAGAGCTGCTAAATTTTTAAGTGCAAAAATAAGTGTGGGCATCAAGACATTTCTGATTTTTATTGGATTTCTCAACAAAAGATAGGATGAGTTATTGTGAGTCTGTCAGAGAAGCAACTTGTTTAATCAGTGGAAGCTATAGCAATTTTTCTTGTGTTGAAACAAATATTTTATTTTAAGGGAGATGGGAAAATGGATGAATTTTGTCACTTCCTGTATTATTATCTTAGAACTTATTCTAAACCAGACCATTCTGGTTTAGGCACATCTCTAGATTTTCTCTTAGTTTGGCCATACTGTGTATATGGGTGGGTATGCTGGAATTTTTCTTCATGTCTAGCCCAACTAATTCATGTCAGTTATGGGTACCTGATAGACAACTTGGAAATTAATTGAGTGTTTTTACCATGACAGATTACACCACAATTGTCTTATGTTTGCCATTTGGTAGGAATTCTCTCTGACAGGTCTAGAGTATAAGTTAGAAAGATTGTTGAATTTGAAGATGTGCTTTGTGGGTAACTACAAGAAAAATAAGTAACATTGAGAGATCTACAAAAGTTGTTCTCTGTTTTGTTTTTAAAAAAACAAAACAGCAACACATATGCGAATCCCTCATACACCACTCCATCCCACTCCCATGTAAACTGACTTAAGCAGTTCCTTAATTGTATTGCTTATAGTGTCAATAATGGAACCAAATTGGGTCAATAGACAACACCTTTGAAGGGGTGAAACATTTTAGAGCATGTGCATAGGTAGAAATATAGGTAGAAACGCATCAGTGTCACATCTAGATATCTGTGTTCATCTGTTCCTAGCTGAATGTGTTCTGTTTTGAGAATTACCTTTCATAAGAAAACGGGCAGATAGTATTAACGTTTATCTAAAAATTCATTTTACTAAAAAAATTATAGTATGTTTTGGTAGGGGAACAGTGAGCCTAGGAAGGAACATGTAAGTATAATAAAGAAAATGATTTTTTAATGAGAATACTAGTTCAACAAAACCTGAGGTTTTGCTGATGTGATAGCATGCCTCTCTTGAAGATGATTTATTCTCTAGAACCAGCATGAGCCTCTGCATGTGGCTGTGTCTCACAGCAAGCCATTTCAAGATTCTCTGGTAAGCTCTGGATGCCCATGGTAATTTCAAAATTAGCTTGTCTTGATGCCATGAAGCAGGTCATATTGACTCCCTGTTCACATGATGAGCACAGACAGGCAGTGAGATAGGGAGTGCAGTGTAAGAAAGCAAGTACATCTTACCAAAACTTTTAAACCTGTATTTACAACTGTTTAAAGTTAGTGTTACAGTGGTCTATGCTCACATGTATTTTAAATTACCCATCACTAGAAATGCAGCTGTATCTTTTCTGCTGACAACTACAGCTCAAGGTACTAAAATGCACTTACCATGGGATGAACATGGGTTAAGTTTCCAAAAGACTTGGAAATGCAAGTCTCTGACTTCTACCACACAGTGAACACAGTCAATATGGAGTCACAGTACAGTTTACTTCCTTGTATTTTCGTTGGTTTGATTGTCAGAACAACAATAGTGAACTTTTCTATGATTGTTCAAGGTTGAATATTTGTTATATCTACGGCTGGACTGCAGAACTACCAGTGTCCCAGATGACAATGTTGTTAAAGTAGTATGGCTGCTCAAATGCAACAATCATAACAAATATGAGTTCTGGGAAAATAACCACAATTTCCCAATGCAAAGAAATGCTCACTCCCTCTTATTTGAAGGAATCTGTTGCATAGACAGACATCTGTGGCTTAGCAATGTAGAGTTGAGCAGCATCTTAGAGACTACACAAAGCCCTTTTTTCTGTTCTCACTTTCGTTTCTCTTTAGGAAAAATAATTGTTATGAATTGTTTTATGGGGAGAAAATTATTCAACAATTTAATTTTCACACAGTATGAAGAAATGTGCAATTTTTCATAGTAAATAAATACCTTACATTGTGCAGTACCTGTCTTAAGAAGGAGTGCAACATGTGTCATCTGTCCTCTTGTTTAGAGCCAAGTAGTTTTGATGCCTGATGTTCAGTGAACAAACTCTGAGGGCCTGACTCTACTGTGGACAGTTACAGGAGGCATAGTTGTTCAATAGTCTTTTAATGAAGTGTGAAAAACTAAAGTTCCAGCCCGTGTGGTGTTCCTACTTGGAGACAGTGGCAAGGAGCTGAGACCCTGGTGTTAGAGAGGTAGAATAATGAAATATTTCTGGCTTCTGAAATGTTATGTCACCCTAATGCACGTTTTTTCTTTGCTCTCTTATTTAATGAAGTTGCCTGAAGGCTTGTGCAAGAACCAAGTCAGTGGTAGGTTAGCTGAAAGCTTTTAGTTGCTTTAGGACTTCTCTCCATTTCTGAGGCATTGTGAGAGTAGTGCCGACACTTGCTGCCAGTTGCTGCAGTGATTCATAGTGGCTTAGGTGTCTTGCTGAGAATTAATAATGACAGTTCTGTTCAGAAGTTTGTGAAATTGAGGAGATCTGGCGAAGTACAAAAAGAAGGCAGGTAGGCTGTATGTGTGTAGGCTTAACATAAAGAGATTTGTTAGCTGATGCAGGGTTGAACTGTTGAAGCATAAGGTATGTCATATATTCGTATTTTTTTTGAAAATGTCAAAGAGGTGAAAATAAGTGCTTTGATTTGTTTCACCTAAGAGACGATGGAGCAACGTATTCTAAGTGTATTTATCTCGTGAAAGGAAAACTGCAAAAGGAAAAAAACTTACTTTAAGATAACTTGCATTTAAAGGGCAATAAGAATTTTCCTTTGCTAGTCTCTTTATGGTATTACCAGAGAGTTCTAATCTATGCTTACTTTTTTTCTAATCTGAGGGCAATAAGGTGAATTCAGTTTAACAGTCTTGCTCCTCAACTGTAAATATGAGAGCTGCAGTTCAGAAACCCTGAACGCATTGGTTTTAATACTGATTTCTTCTTTCTTCTCCCACCCCTCTCCTCAATAAAGAGAAGTCAAGAGTAACTTTTTGCAGAACAGTTGTAATTGCCAAATCTAAGCTTGAGTTGTAAATGCGAATTAATTGTGTTGCTGTGGAGCACTGTTTTTTTAATTATGTTTTCACATCTTTGGAAGAAAGTCATAGTTTTAGCAGTCTTTCCTTCACTTTTGTTCTATGATAGTGTCTTCCTTTGGTGTTCTGATTTTTAGACTTTTACCTGCAATTACTTATCAGTATTCAGCTTTTGACTGGGTTAGATATAGCCTTTACAATAAAAAACCATAAAGAATGTATTTTTTAATTTTTCTGTGAGGAAGTTTACCAGTGTATACCTTTTTCTACTTTGGGGAGATGGGTGGGGGTTGCTACCAGTGATACCAGTGAAAGACTGAAGTAGAGCAGTCCTAAGCACAGAGGAGCAGGAGGTATGTAATCTTGAAGTAGCACTTGTTCTTCTGCCTCTTTTCTCTCATGGTTAATTTAAAAAAAATTATTAGGAACTTAGATATTATTATGTATCATAACAGTACTTATTTCCAGTGACAAAGAAGAGGTCATGTTTATTTGACTAAAGAACTGTAAAGAAAGAAGTGGGCAGGAAAAAATGCCCTTATTTTTTTTCTTTAGCAGTATCAGGTCAAATACAGAGGAATTTCTACATGTGTCCTTATCACAATCTCTTGGAAAAGTTGAAGCAATATTCTGCCTTAAATGTGGAAGAAAGCTTACAGGAGTAGTCTTTTGACTCTATGGTAAAAAGGTGATGATGATAAGCATGTACTAAAGAAATCACATGGCTCTTTCCCTTGTATTTGAAAAGAAAATGGAAATGTCTCTTACTATAGTTGCAGTGAAATTCTTTGAATCTTTAGGAAAACGATGTTGTCAAAACTCAGTTGTTTTCTAATGCATTTGCTCATGACATTGAAAGAATAAAGTGGTTCCCTTTGTTATTTTGATTTCTGAAGAGCTGTATATATGTAGGAAAAAGTACTCAAAAATAGTTGTTAGCGTAGGGATACTTAAGGTTTTATTTTTTTGTAGGGGAAAAACTTCACATACTTTACTATGAAGAAGAATTGAAACTGTGGAATATAATTAGAAAAAATGCATACTATAAAAGCAAGCTTATCCCTATTATTATGAAGAGGCAAATCTGGTGAATTTTGCTTGTATTTAAAGTTTACAACAAATTTGGGTAGATGAGTTTATTCTAAATCCTGTACATTCAGAGTGAGACTCCTTTTAACCTTGCCACTAAATAGCAAGTAATGAGAACAGGGATTTGGGGAAGATTTAGAAAATGGTAGTGTAATTTAACCATGGTTTTGTATAGTTGAATAAATGTAAACATGTGGTTTAGATTGACAAAGGAAACTTGTTATTTAAGTCTTCAAAAACTGTCAGGAATAGCTTTAAGCATTAATGTTGCTATATTTATTACAGGTACCATAACTGAGTAATGAAAAGATTGGTAATGTGCATAAATTCATCCTATGAGACTGTTCTTCTTGAACAGTTGTCAATCATAGTAAAAGTGAATTTTTATGGAGGCTTTTTGAACACATTACCAGAAAATTGTACCTGAAACATGTTCCATTGTGTTCTGTAAAGAGAAAAAGCAGTGATTTGGTGAGAGGAGGGTGAATGCAAGAACACTGGAGAGCAGAAGGGAAACTGGGTACAGTTAGCAGGTAGCAAAGAGCACTTTGAAATGCTCATGCCTAAGAAGATAGGCAAAGTATGCCTGTATGTTGTAGATACGCCTGATGAACACCATGAGAACTTCAGGGCTCAAAACCTGGAAATAAATAATGAAGTCACTCCTCACTCCTGTCAGTTCTGTCTGGAGTTTCTGATACCTTCTTTCTCCAAGATTCATCAAGAGCATATTAAAATTCCAGTTACTTGGTCAGCAATGGACCAAGTGTACGAATATGCCATATGAACACT